AACTCCCTGAGATTTGAAATTTGTTCCTATTGAAATCTACATGTTATATATTATATTATATATTGTACTTTTTATATTAGAAATTTTGAGTTTTACAAACACTTCATCCTTGACATGTAACCATACTACAAGTATCTTGTGAAATAATATTGTTTAAATTCATTTTAAGCATACGCATAGTTAGTACTCAGATTACCATTCAATATATATTTACTCAGTTTTTGTATTACTCTTTGCAGTTTCTGTTTACACATTTGGAATTACTTAAATGTATATTGAAGATAATTTACTCATTGAAATGTTTGCTAAAGATGAGTGAAAATTAATTTGGTTTCCTGTCTTAAGTCACAGGAAGACTCATGTTTTTAAGAATGTTTTATTTTGATTTTATCTTTTTTTATAGACTATCAAATATCCTTCAATTTGAATAATTAGAAGTCAATTTGACCGAAGCTGAATTTCAGAAAGCTATACGGCCTGAGTGGCCTTGATTTTGGCCCGACTGCCACCTTGAAAAGGTCCCACACGTACAAATAACAACTTTCTAATTCAATTTTTTCCTCAGCAAACCCAAAAGATTACCTCATCTTTTCACGAATTTAATTGCAAACCCTTGTTTTCAAATTCATTGATTTGCATTTTTGGTTGCACATTTCAGAAAACTTGAAAATGAAAAACAAAATCACTTCAGTTTGGGTTTCAGCAAAACATATGAATTTGTTTGCAAAGTATCAATCTTATTGTAAAAATTAAATGTTCGGTAGACTTTTAAGTGTTTAACAATTCACCACTGTATGTAGATCTTAGTAGTCACAACAAGACTTTGTGAACTCCCAAATGTATATTTTTCAATTTGTTCCTAATGGAAAATACATCCACTCATTGTATTCTGTGCTATCTCTACATTACATTTTCTGATAATAGAAATTGAAGCCTGTACAATTTTAGTTATTCTGTATTTCTATTAACTTCACTTTTTAAAGCCACAAGGAATCATCTGCAATTACCCGGATAAGTACCTACCGATTTAATGACAGAAAACTCAAAAGCAAGATAGGACTGGTAACAAATACCCTGCAAAATAATTCCACCTGAAATTGTTATTGTCAGAAAACAAACATTGAAGGTGGTTTCAAAATGGGGTGCCCACAGATTCCAGTTAGGAGATCCAAAGATGTGTGTATTCTGTTTTCTCTATTTCCTCCAAAATGTATAGTAGCTACTCAGCTAAGACCAGAAAAGAATGCTTGTTTTGCACCGTACTTAAAATATTGAGCACTTCTGTTGCTTCGGGAAAAACCTGCAAAAAGCAAATGATCCTATGTACAATGCACCTTTACTGAAGTAAACACATCAGTCTAAAAGTTAATCAAGATTACTGTAAAAATTAGTCTTTTAATATTCACTCAGTGTCTTTTAAAAACAGAAAAGCTTTTTGTAACTTTGTTCACTTTGCGGTGTTTAATAGAAATCATCTTTATTGTTATTATTTACAAGCTTTGTACATTTGCATTCATATCAATGAAACTATAATGTTGACTGTAGTTTAATCACCAAAATGTCTGCTAAAGATCAGCCACAATACTTTTCCTGTTAAGTTGGTTTCCTGTCTGAATTCACAGAATACAAACATATTTTAACTGTAATCATCAGCTTTTATCTTAATTCTAATTTCAGAAGAACATTACTGTCAATTTCCGAAACCAAAATGCAAAGTGTGACTTTTTAGATACCCTGGTTACTCAAAAATACCCCCAAAATCCATTTCCACATGATTTTTCACTTATATATGAAACTGCAGGCACTGATTTCTGAAAACAAGGTTTTGGGAGACATCCCTCATTTAGCCTCAGCAGGTCACATTTTGTCTCCAAAGGTTAAGAATTTGTTCAAGTGTAAAATTGTAACAAATGTTCAAAATCAATTGTATTGAATTTCAGGAAGCCATGGCCTCTGTTGCCTTGATTTTGGCCTGACTGCCGCTTGAAAATGTCCTTGCCTTTCAAAGAATTAAATTCCATACCTCTGTTTTCATTGTTTTACAAGTTTGGTTGCAATTTTAGAAGACTTGATAATAATTTAAAAATTATACCCCTCACAACAGTTTGAGTTTCAACAAAAATTTGTTAATTTGTTCATGAAACATTTCAAATATATTCACACAGACTTTTAAAATTATATGTTTTGAAATGAGCAGAAATAAATTTATTCATTTATGATTTGGAAAAAGAATAACTCTGTTTGTAGTTCTTTGTTGTCGCTCTTTTCTTCAGCTAAAAATGATGCCTCAAAAAAACTATAATTGTTATTCCACTAGGACTAACAATATACACTGAAGTTATAACTGAACATAAATGGTCAATGTGTGACTAATTAAATTTTCTACACTGAGTTTTGGCAATTGCAAAATTCATCACTTTATTATTTTTTGGATTACCTTTGCTGGATACATACAGATGACGACAATTTTATGAGTGGATTCCAGCCGGCCAAATAAATTCCAGATTTCTTGGACCAGTCTGCAAGTCTTCATAGCCCCATGACAAAGTTAATGGTTTCACCTTTACATCAGACCCCCAACAATAAAAGTTGCACAGCGCCCTCTATTGACAATGACTCTCACTCCCTTCATTATTGAGTGTCTGTTATGTTGCTCACAATTAGTATATTAAATACTGTCAAGGGCGGATCCAGAACACAATTTTCTTGGGGGGCCAAAAACAAATTTGGTCCCCCCAAAAAATCAGAAGTGGGGTTCAGGGCCCGGTTAACGCCCTGAAAAAAATTTGGATTCTAAATGATCTGTGGTGCGATCTGAGGCATTTTCTGACCACTTTAACCAAATCTTTTTTAAGGAAAAGATGGTGTGTATGCAGTGCCTGCCTTTTTGAGATGTCACTTAAAAAAAAATTGTCTGTTTTCTTTGGGGGGGGGGGGGGGTTGGAGGTGGGGGCATGGCCTCGGTTGGCCTCGCCCTGGTCCGCCCTTGAATACTGAAATGAAAAAAAAAACAAGTGGTCCGCGGACCACATGTGTTGCCCTTCTCCACGGTCAATCCCTATAATTATGATTTGTGTTCTTAAAAAAAATGTTACAATTTGGGCATTTTTAAACGATGTGAAATTACCCCTAGATGACCTTTGACCTCCAATTTTGAAAGACTTGTGATAAACCCCCACCCAAGGTACACTCCATCAAAGTTACATTAAAATCCATCAAATTATGTAGAAATAGAAACATTTGAAGCATATTTGAACAATACGGATGTCAGTCATATGGACATTACGCTCACACAGAAAAGTTAGGACTGGTGATACGAGTGTCTCCTGATTTATTCGGTTAGACAACACAAACATTGCCAATATTTTGTTTGTCTTGTATCATAGAAATTAGAACAAGTTTCTTGAAGGGCTGATATTTTATTTCCTTACAAATTATTAAATATGGTTTAGGAGGTAGGGATGACTATTATTCTAAATTTGCCTACAACTTTGGCTGTAACATGCAATTTGCCAGCTGGAACCCTGACCATGCAATAATGACTTATGTAGCGGCAAGTTGTGAAATTTAATTTGGGTTTAATCATAGTTGTTATTTCAAAGTGTTTTCTAAACTTTAATTCATGATCACGCATACCTTTGAATGGAAATAAGTTTGTTGCGGTAAAACTGTTCATTAATTGTTCCCGTACTTTCGTAATAGCGCCCTCTTGTGATATGGTGCATTTTGTAAGGTGAAAGTTTAAACTCCTCATGAGTCCGATGATTCGTATTAATAAACATGCACCAAATTCATCTCCCCAAATAAATGTAAAATTATCAGGTTTTCTAAGTCCCAAATGTTGTAGTTTTGGATCCAACACAATCGGTAAGCCTTGTTGATTTATTCAGGATTATAATTTATCGTATTTTGAGTGATTTATTAAGATTGTTTGCAGCTTTTCAAAGTGAAGATTTATATGTTTTGGGGTGTGTTTACTTACACGTACAGGGATAATGTACGCACTATGTCAAGTGAAGGCTCAAGCTCAATCGCATATATTTGACTAATTAATCTAAATGGTTTATTATGTTTTTCTGTAATTGTTAATACTAAAGTTAAGTATTGTAATTTGTCTAATTGCAGTGAACCACCACCACCGTAAGCACCAAAGCACCAAATACAACAGCACTGAAGTACTACTGCCTCAGGGTGTGTTCAGAAAGGGACCGAATACTTTAAAATAAAAACACTTGTGTGGCAAATGTCGTTTCCAAGGCTACAACTTATATCCAACTTCAAAAGATTGGGCATGCTGTACGTAGGCCTATATCAGCAATACATTTAAAGTGGACTTCAAACGTTTTACAGTAGTTATTAAAGGTACACGTATAGAGAAAATATGGAAGATTTTAAGACCGTCTCGCAATGGCTACAGCCAGGGATGTAGTTAAGTCCCTCCTAAGTCTTTCACAAGTCCAGTCACAAGTTACGAGATGAACAATGACAAATAAATGCTTTTGCAACGGTACATTTGAAAAGCTTGTGATTTGACTCGAGACTGAGGGACTTGTTAAGGACTTGACAATGAAAGCAGCTGAATCCGCATCCCATAGACAACTGTTACTGTCTATGACTAGCAATAACACATGTGTCTATGAAATTAGCTGAATCTGCATCACATAGACACGTGTTACGCGGCCAGAAATAACACGTGCCCCTATGAAAGCAGTTCAATCCGCATCCCATACACACGTTACTGGCTACGGCTAGCAATAACACATTTGTCAATGAAAGCAGTTGCATCTGCATACCATATATGTGTTACTGCTAATCATAGCCCAATTATTGACACGGACTCCAGATTCAAGACAAGACCTACCTTTGGATCGGTGCAATGAAGTTGCATGGTGTCTACAGGGTTTCAGAACGTTCCTGCCATTCCATGAGCTGTCACCCCTCCCACATCTCCCATGGCCATGTTATGATGCATGCCAGACATTGGCTCATTGCTCAGCAAACTGGCTGACAGGTGTCTGTAGGAAATAACCAGGGGAATAAAGTTATAGCTCGCAAGCATGATGATGTTTCAATAGTGTCTTGAGATACACAATTAAGGTACCTCTTTATGAGGTGTTGATTTCTCTTTTGATTTTCTCAATGATCGCTGTTCAGTTTTTGCTGGTCCCAGAGGGCCAGCCTACAGTCCTCTGTACCTCACGGATCAACTCACTGTCACTTGTGAGCTGGGCAGTGCTGTTGTATAGGATTACCCTGTAACACCAATGAATGGGCTAAATCAATTGAATGGGACTGTGTGTACTCTGGAACCAACTTGAATTGCCTTGTGTTATTGTAAACTGTTTTCAAGTCCTGAACTCATGCTGATTGAGTGTAGTGGGGGTGGTGGAGGGGTGAGATGCTTACTTGTTCATTTGGAAGCCATCCTCTCTTGACAGTGTCTTGATGGGGGAAGTTAGGCATCCTGTTAGCTGCTGTGCCTGGTATGTCCTCTGAGTTGCTACTTGGGATCCAGTCACCGCTGCTCCCGGGGGGAAATTTCAGAAGAAGCAAGAAGTTTGTTTTAAATCTGCCATTTATAGGAAAATATATTCTCTTGAATGGATGACACCTAATATTTTGCTAATCCGCATGTCCTGTATGTCCACTGGGTATCTTAAAAATCACAGTTGTCTATTTTTAAATTTCATTTTCATGCCTGAACTGAAATGTTATATCCTTCTGAGTTGATTTTTTCAGCATGTTTTAATCAACAAGGATCTTTTAGCTAAGTTCTTCAATTAGGATCTTAAAGTACCGAGCCGAGAAAATATGAGACTATTTCACACTCCTATTATCTTGATGCTCCAGATATAGTCAGTTTCCATGCATCTAATGAAAGTGTGTGGTAAATGAAAACTGAGCTTACCTGGTGTATAAGCCCAGATGCTACTCCCTGGTGAACCAACAGGGTAACCCAGATCACTGACAGGTACAACAACAAAGCTGACAGGTGTCTTGCGTTGCCCTCGACTATGCTCATTGCTGATTGGAATTGGTAAGCGACGATCTTGACCAATGGCTGCTGGAGGCCGGGCCGGGGCTGTTCAGTTGCCATGGTGACCAGACTGGACGTGATGGTTGATCAACAAAGTGAGCCTCCATGAACTGCTCAAAATTAAATTGAAATGAAAACAATCATGAGAAACAACACATTAATACAATGTCTTTTTTTCATAATTTTGAAGGCTTTTGTAATTGAGTACAACTTGCAAGTACACACAAGGAGACAGTTTACAAGGCACACCGTTGTTCCAAGGTTTATGTTCAAGTTTTTCTTTATTTTGTTGCCGGATTTTCTGTACACCGAGTGAAGTGACTGTCTAATAATAAGGGAATAAATATGTGCTTGTCTGGTTTTAAACAAGTCCGTTTAAGACCAGCTGGAGGCTTGGGCACTGATAATGGCGATGCGAAAAGTCCAGCATATTTTTATTCCCATTCATAAATAGGTTTTCAGTCAAAAAGTCAAATAAGTAAAAAATACATATATTCCCTACGATTTTGGTCAACAATTTAAATTAACTTCATGTTTTTTAAACACCCCTCTAGCTTTGTCATGGTATGTGCCTCTCGCAAGTTAGTGGTAAACAACATCTTAGATGGAGATTGGCGCGTGATGCGTGTACTGCGTGATATGGTGCAGGATGCGCAGTGTTGGTGTAGTGTGAATTTAGTACTGTGATAAATACGGACTCATTGGTAGTATTGCGCATTCCTAAGGGAAAATTGTGAACGTTTTACAATAAAAGGTTCAAAAGTGCAGACCACATTTCATGGGAGTTACAATTTCATGCGACACCAGATAAGTATTTAAAACCAGCCAGCCGGTAATTAAGACCGGGCTCTCAGAATGGGTAAACTGTTGTAATTAGGTACATGTATTTATTCGTTAAAAAAACACACTTTTAATCCATGATTTTTATTTTTCTTTAAAATATCTGAACCGTACTAGACATATCAAAAATGACCAAATTCAATAAATCTAAAAAAAAAAACTCCCTTCATCGTTATATTTTTTTGGGGGGGGGGGCGCCATTTTTCTCCACTACAGTCTGTGCCCACTTCTGTCTCATTTTGCCAGAACAGCCATGTCAAAAGACATTTTACGTTAAAACTAGGCCTGCATCAACAATTTGTGAAATTCTCGGGGGGGGGGGGGCAAAAGTTTGTACTCACAGTCTGGATGCGGCCTCTGTCATGCTCTCATCCCCTTCAATTCTGTACACAATGCCATACATGACGTACTCAAGCTGTCTGTCATAGTGGTTGTGCTGTCGTCAAGGGGTGTGTACTCCCCATCGTCAGGGTAACCATACCGTTGTTGCCAGAACAGGGCGGAATTTATCACCTGTTTTTTAAGAGAAAAAAATACAAAGAAATTAATGAACTGCCTTGGGCGTCGCCAAGATTTTTTCCAGGGGGGGCGGGGAAAGCAAATTTTCCCCAAAAATTCTTTAACTTTTTCATTATATTCTCAATTTATCATTTTTCCAAACATGAGCAGGGGAGCATTTGCCCTCCCCCCATCAAATAAACAGCAATATGGCTTCGCACTTCTTTTTCCTTTTTTCCCTCTTTTTTTACTTTTCTTCTTGTTTTCCAGGGGGGGGGTGGTGGGGCCCAAGCGTCCACCCTTGCCACGCCCCCTTGCGACGCCCATGTGAACTCCCCTTGACTTACAAGTGCTGGTGGTGATGTACATTCAGATTATTCCATGCGCACATTTTGTACATCAGTACAGTCGAGTCTCGTTAATACAAACTCGTTAGGACCTAGCCAAATGGTCTGTTATATCAGAATTTTGTATTAAGAGGAACATCAGTCCCATTCATTGTGCACATAAATGCACAGTCGGACCAAGGCTTTATGTTTGTTATAACCAGAATTTAATTGTATTAACTCTGAGTTTGTAATAACGAGATTTGACTGTATGTTTGAATCCTCTTGTCTGAGAAGGAACTTGGGTCTTACAAAACAGCTGTGTGAAGGAACACTAAAAAGTTCCACCTGAAACACCAGAATAAATATACTGACATTCAAAGCAAGACATGCTTACATCCATGTACATGTACATGTATGTACCAAGTTTCTCAAATATCTTTTGAAATAATTAAAACATTGCAAATGATTCCAGATACTGGCCATAACCTTAACCCTCCTCAATCCTTCAAAATCTTCCGGTGGTTTTGGAGAATTGGGGAGGATTGAGGCTTAATTGCAACAAAATGTCGGTTGATTTTGGAGCAACATTGTGTTGAATTTGTAGGCTGTATTGCTGATGTTCAGTCATGCATATTTGAGCCCTGCATTATGCTCCATATCATCCTCAATGCTATGTCTTCGGCACTGCCTCAACCCATTATCAGTAAATTGTGGGAAGATTTTGAAGGATTGAGGCAATGGTTACCCCTCCACTGAACAAATTTAAAAAAAATAAAGGATGATTTTGGAGGATTGGGGCTGCATCTAATTTTACATGGTGGCAATTGGAGGATTTTGAAGGATTGAGGATGGATCCTAGCCAAAAAGGCCGGGGGGGGGGGGGTGTTAATGCAGTCATCCTCCAAGAGTGATTATGAATAGCAAAGTTTAACCTACCCCCCCCCCAAAAAAAAATTGTTTGAAGTCATTCATAATGATATGTGGTGATCTAGCAAGGTAACGGGGACAGGGAAAATGTCACACTTTACCTAAATGTATTGAATGACACACATACATGCACCAGTACATATAAAGTGGGTAGGGGTTGGGCTCGCATTGTTGTAATTAAATAAAAAAAATACCACCCCCCCAAAAAAAAAAAATCCCCCCCCCAAAAAAAAAAGGGAGAGAGAAAAAGCAAAGGAAACTTTGGGTAATGAAACACTTTGGTGGATCATGTTTTTCCACAAAAGTTAACAAAAAAACAAGATACATGTACAGACATATAAACGCATAGACCGCCAGTCGTGCGCGTTAAACCGTGATTTACAAAAAAGTGTAGACAAAACGCTTGTTGACAGCGCACGTAACCGTGCGACGCGCGTTCAATGCAGATACGCGCTTAGGACAGCACACATTTACATACAGAACATAAATTTTTGAGTTAAAAAAACCTGTTTTACTCACAATCCGAGTGAGAAAAGTTGTGCACATTATTGTTTTTAATTTACCTGAAACATAAGTACACAAGGGATTTTTTTTTACAATCAAAAAATAACTTCAAAGATTTTTTTTACTGGAATAGTTCAACTGTGTGTAAAAGCCCTATACTGAGAGGTGAATTTGCCCATAGTTTAGTTAAGTTTTGAATAGGACCTGGTGGTCTACGTGTTTATAATGTCTGTGGATACATGTACATGTACATTGACCAAAAAAAATCCATCACGCCACTTTCCAAGGTGAAAAACTACATAAGCCAAGAGAAAGATAAGCTACATCTGACGTGGAGGTTTGGAAAGTGAATTACTTCCTACAAGGAAATTATAATATTAATTAAAATATACAAAGGGTTTTTCAAAATGAAAGTGTTTAAACACTCATTCATGTACTTTCCTGTACATGTGCACTTTCATTTCTACTTTTGCACATTTAAAAATCTTGTTTTTAGTCAGATGATGTTCAGACCCCCCCCCCACTCAAATAATATTCAACATTGTTCACATTGAACATTTCCCCAATAGTCAGATGGTGTTCAGACCCGCCCCCCCCCCACTCAAATAATATTCAACATTGTTCACATTGAACATTTCCCCAATAGTCAGATTGTGTTCAGCCTTCCTCCCCCAAACATCAGCATAAAAGTGAGATTTCACAAGTTCAAACTTGAAGCAAATTATTCTTTTTTTTCATTGTTTGGTCCAAGTTTCAGTATTTGTATTTCAATGTCTTGCGCTCAGAATTGGAGATCTGGACTATATCGCTGCGTAGAGATCATGGAAAATGCTACCCCTTTTTAATTTTTGCCCCTGCCCTTTTATAATGTATTAGTCCAGACTTGTTTTACCTTTGAAAAAAAATAATGGACTGACCCAGAGCCAGTGAGTTGCAAGGAGGAAGTTGGTCTCATTGTTCTCCAAGCAATGACCCTGCCAATGCATGTATTAAAGTTGTGCTATATTCCTGTATTTTTGCCTGACAACTCTCCAGTATTTCTTACAGGTATGTTTATTTGGACTTTCATTTCTTATAACTAACATTCATAGATTTCCTTTGATTGACGCAAATTTGTATTGTGTTAAGTTATTTGAATACTTTATACTGTTGAGACTTGAGGAAATAAGTTGTTTAGTCCAATATACATTCACAAACAAAGTAATGCTTCAAATGAAGCAGATATTTCAGGTCAATGCTCTTCCAGCTTTGGAGTTTTCAATGGCTTTTCCAGGCTTCCAGCATGCAAGTTTGTAGTTGAAACAGAAGAGGAAATTGCCAAGCACATAAAACTTTTGTATTTAAAATGTCTCAAAAGTGGTGTAAAGACCTTGGGGAAATACCCGACAAATGCAACAATCACTGTCAAGCAAAGTCACTTACATGTACTGGCTGACAGTCAGGCATTGACTGGCTTGTTCATCAGGCTATAGTTCCAAACCACTCAGTTGGGTTTCACATTCAGTTGGCTTGTAGGACTGCACTGGCTGGCCAACTGACTGACAGACTGACAGACAGGTAGTCATCAATGGTCAGAAAAGATGAACGTCTGATGTTGCTCAACTGACATCTATTCAATTCTGAAAAACAAAACTCAACCCACAAACTTATCATTGGCGGTTTTGGAAGTTTATAGTTTGGAAATGATGATTTGGCTGGTACTTCGGCACATTGCTGGCTGTGACTTAGCCTGTACATGTACATGTACATTTCATCTTCACTTCTGCTGAGAACTGCTTGCTCATCCAAACTCAAAATTTCCAACCAATTAAATATAAAAATTCTGGTTTGTCTGGCCTGGGAAATCTGAATCCTATTCAGTAAAAGAAATGGAAAAGCACCTTGCATACAGTTTTGTCCATTTCAATATCTGAAGACATTTCAGAAGAGAATTAAAGATGTACTCTCAGTGCTCTTCAAAACCTGAACAGGAATTCCAAAGAGATTATTTTATTTGATGTCTCGTTCAAAAGTGGATATCTTTTGTCTGGCAACAAAATATCAATTCACAAGAAACGTTATACATGTACTTTTTATCCAGATGAAACACCAACGGACAGTGCATCTTTAATGTATAAGAGTCACATCTTTTGGTCAAGCTTTTTTAATGCTCTTACAGTAACCCTTCCATTTTATTTTTAAATACTATTTGAATACAGATAAAAATGGCTACAGCTTTGAAAAAGATAAGCCCCCATCTAGAGTGTGACATTTGTCAGGAGAAATACAAACGGCCCAAGGTGCTGGACTGCCAACACAGTTTTTGCGAGACATGTCTGGAGAAATACTACACCAGCAGGTATGCAGGTCAGCCTAAGATTCCTTGCCCTGTATGTCGTCGGGAGATGGTACTTCCAGAGACACGCATTCAAGGCCTGAAAGCAAATTTCCATTTGATGGGAATAGTTGAGGAGGTCTCACTCCAAGAAAAGGTGGCTTGTTCAGAAAACACAAAGGTCATCTGTGAGATTTGTGATGAGGGAAATGAGGCCATGCATCGTTGTCTGGACTGTGCCCAGAATATCTGCCCAAACTGTCGCAAGACACACTTGCGATTTGCTGCTACATCAAACCACACAGTGGTTACTTTGGAGGACATTCGTCAGGGGAAGGTAACGGTGAAAAAAACACCAGAAGAAGATGAGTCTAAATGCCAGAAACACAAGGGTGAAGTGAAACGGTTTTACTGTGAGACATGTGAAGAGTTAATCTGTCGAGATTGTACTGTAGTAGACCACTGTAAACCAAAACATCACTACATTGAGTCTGGAGAGGCTTCTCGTAAATACAAACAGTCACTGAAAGATACGTTTCCAGATTTCACCACAGGCATCAAAAGACTTCAAAAAGCTTTGGCCACTTCATCACAAGCTAAGCAGAAGTTCACACAGAACGTCACAAAGACTGTGAAAGCTGTAAAAAACAAAGCGGATAAAATGAGAGCTGAGATAACAACTCAAGAGACAAAGATGATTGCAGAAATCAAACAACTCCAGCAGGATCGCAACAAAACATACGATAAGCATCAGGAAACAGTGACAATGATGCTACAAAGTAAACAACATTCCTTCAGTACAGCTCAGGATGTCATAAACACTGCATCAGACACTGATTTGCTTTCCCTCTATCCTATCATCAGCAAAGACTTGAAATCACTCAAGAGTCAAAATCCTCCCCAGATTGATCCCAAGCTTTCATATCTGAGCTTCACCCCGGGTCAGAGGATTGGTGACATCAATCTGGGCAAGCTGGCAGTCAAAGGCAAGTGGGAGACGTTGCGTGAGTTTGGTAAAGTGGGAAGTGGTCCAGGAGAGTTCAATGGGGCTGTAGGTGTTACTGCCACTCAACCTGGTGAGATTGGTGTGGCAGACTGGATGAACAACCGAGTGGTCATCTGCAGCAATGAGGGACAACACAAGGGAACCATTCCCCTACGACGTAAGTTTCTTTCATGCACATGTTCATCAACACAAACTTTCATAATTGTGTGGAAATTATAAGTAAGTCTTCCATGTGCACATGCAGATCTGGGAACTGATGAGAAATCCCACACAAACACACTCAATTCTGTTCCGTAGTTGTGGGGACATACACGTCTCTAGCTCTACGCCGTACTGGTGGGGACCGAAAGCGCTATGGGGACAGCAAAAAGTCCCCACAACTTGGTCCTAATTAACTTAACAATGAGAAACCTCCCAATAATGTGGTGTGGGCCAGAGCACGTACACACACAAAAAATTAAAACAAAACTACAACAAAACTTATATTTATTTCACAACTGATTTCAGTTGGTATAATATGGAAGAATTGTTTTTATTTTGGGGTCGTAACTTTTAGAAAAGAGCAAATTTGCTTTTAGGTTGTTTTGCAAACAAACCAACCTGTCCTGTGCGTAGAATGTTCTACACCTGATCCCTATATTAGTGGGTGAGGGGGCTGCATGAGCCCCCATCAAGATCGACCTTTGGTTTTGTGATTGTTCTTCTGTATGTAGTGTTCCTGTTTTGCTTTTTTTTCTGGACAATAAAGCTCCATGGCTTATATTTTTAAAGATACAACGCAGGAACTTTATAATTGGTATGAACATATAGCCCTGACACTGAGGTGTGCATTCAAATCTGAAGTCATGATGACATCAGCAGGTATCAAATTACAACAAATTCTAGTTCAAAAAGTGACCATTTTGTTTCATTCATAACTTCTGAACAAAGCAAATATTCTTGTTCACATTTTGTGATCTGATGGACCATCCGTTGATGAACCATTTTTTTTTGTCCTGTGTACACGTGAAGTTGCTTGACCTGCTGGGGTTGACGGTCAAATTAAAGTTAGGTGAATTCAAAATACTTAAAGCAGTATGAATAAAACAAAATGGATTTACTCCGTAACGGGTCAAGGTATGAAGAAAAAACCTTGTACAAACATGCACTGTTGTACAAAGATGTGACAAAAATGGTTACATCATACATGACACCACCATAATCAAATTACAAGTGATTTAAAGGGACACTACATCCTGAAAAGCACCCAATTGGGCTACAAAGAGCATTTAAATGTAGGATATAAACGTCTACACAACCATCCTTGACAAATTGCCTGTTTGTGTTATTCTTGCAAGAACAAATTTTGGGAGTCAAAATTTTGACTCTCAAAAATGTGTCATTCCGTGTCAATTCAACACGATTTTGGACTTGACCCTCACAGATTGAAACGATTTGGTGTGATGATTGGCCTGTATGAGAAACCCCCAGAACTGATTTTTTTGTAGTTTGTTAGATTCTGAGATACGGGTCAACAAACTTTTGACTCATTAGCATGACCTCCGAACTTTAATTACTTGTATCTCCAAAACTATAGCAAATACAAAGCCAAATTGTACATCATATTAAAGCTCTTTGAATGGCCTCCAATTCATAAAATAAAACAAAAAAATCATACCATGAAGCACAGAGAAAATGTGCTACAAAATTACCTTTGACCTTAAATTACAAAAAAAAAACAATGCTAGTTTATGATGTAAGCACCAATCTTGGAACATTTTGTGAAAGGTGTCTTAAAGTTTGTAAGAACTAAATTGTTATTATACAGTTTGTTATTATACAATTATTTGATGACTAAAAATGGGGTTTATGTCACTTAATGCTTCATTTGAAAATTGAACAACCTTATTATTGCTTTAAAAAAAAGCAACACGATTAAATATAAGACTAATCTATTTTGATGTTTGAACAATGAGAATAGCACAGAGAGTGCATCAACTTTATAAAAGACTTTGCAAAACTGTATCTCCAAGACATTGCAGTTATTCACAATTAAACATGTATATGGTGCCTGAAGACTGCACAATGTTCATGTATAGCCCTATTAATTCTACATGAACAGGCTTTAAGGCAGGCCATGTTTTCATTAATATAGGTAGGTTATCATAGGTATTTATATTTCATGAGGACTCAGAATAGTGACAGTGCATTTATATACTGTGCATATGTTACATTTGAGTTCTTCTTTACCCACAGATCCACAGGCAGTTGCAGCCATTCACATTCCTGAGCAACGCTTGTTTGTGTTGGAAGAGGGAAGCAAGTATGTCAAGGTGTTCAACATGAAAGACAACACTCTTGTAAAGCAGTTCCCAACGGTGCACAAACATCAGGTAGACAAGACAGAAATGAACCTACAGAGTCTAGCTGCAACAAAGAATAGCATCTTAGTAGGCGACACCAAAAATATGGTGTGGACTGAACACAAAGCCACTGATGGTGAGATCCTACACACCATACCAGTGCAGACTCCACCTTGCTACCTGGCTGTTGATGACGACACTGATATAGTTGTGGTCAGTGGAGGTGACACAAAGAAAGTGGATATAGCAGATAGCAAAGGTACAACAAATGGCACTATCAATCCGACCATTAATGGTAAGCCAGTGAAGTGCCGTGGTGTATGCTGTGACAGCTCAGGCATCTACCTTGTAGTGTACCAAGGTGTGACTGGCACTGGTCATATTCACCACTATGACCTAGATGGCATGTTTCTTGATTGCCTGGCTCAGGGTCTGTATATCCCACGTGGAATCACATTCACATCCGATGGCCAGCTTGCAGTGACTAACTGGAACAAAGTCAAGATGTATCACAAGGTGTGATGTCATCCAACATGACATTGACTAGCAATCATCATCATCCCAACAGCAAATTTTGAGGATGAAATTGTCTAGTCATTACAGCACCAATCAACATTCATGTCCCACTCATATCACATCTCTCCTCAAAAAGCCAAACTGCCAGATCCCTCTTAAAAATTCATACAAATTCTTAAATAAACAGTGCATCAATTACATTTTGTTACTACAAAAACTGTATAGAAAGTCGTATATACAGTGTATTGACTGCAGTTGCATTTTGATTTGATTGGGGGGACAATTTGTTTTAATCTTACTTGTACAATGACTGGAATCTGAATTAAATGGTAAATTTGAAAGGAGAGGAGAGTTTAGTGGGTGTTGAGGTGTTTGAATGTAATGACCCCCGCCTCCTCAACCCAACACCCCTCCCTCACCCAGTACATGGACTGCCATCAGTCTATCCAATACTTACCAACTTTTTGTGGTGCTTATGAAACCCTGGCTTCATTGTTGCTTCCGCTTCATCTCTGGCACTAGATTCCTAAGAATCCTATCACATTCAAACTCAGTGAAAATGCACCAACCATCCATTGGCCTTGTGTGACAGGATTTGGTGTCTCTAAAGAAGAAAATGGACCAATATTGCACTGGAGTTACATCAGGGGACAAAAATCATGCAGCCTGAGGCCAAAGCCAGGGACGAAGCCAAGATTTCAAAAACACAATTAAGACTGTTAAATTGTTCCTAGTGGAACTTGCTGTATATATGCTGCTATCTTTTATAACAAAAACTTGAGAAATGTTTAGGATCATTTCGTTCTTGAGATGCAACATTCTTAAAATTTATTTTGAGTAATTACAACTTTACAAATGCATTACTCAGTTCAATTTAGTGTTAGGATTAGTGTTCAAGATAAGCCTTTATTCACTCAGTTAAATTTTTGTTCCTTTTTTTGCTGTTTGCATCTGCCTATTTAATTAATAAAACACTACTCTTCAAGTAAATTGACTTGTCCAAATGCATCCTAAAGATAAGTGACAAAGCTCATTCTATTAATGTGGTATCAGATCTTCATTCACAGAATGGAGAATTGTGTTGACAGTGTTCATGAGGTTTATATCTTGACCTCATCAGAGGCTTGCAATAGTAGAAGCCAAAGCTGGAGACAAGCCAATATTTGGTAAACTCCCTGAGATTCTGACATTTGTTCCTAATGGAATCTACACGTAATCCAGTATATATTGCACATGTACTTTTGTTAATTGCACTTTTGAGACAGTAAATCCACTTCATCCTTGAGATGTTACCATACTACAAGTAGTTTGTAAAATAATATTTTTAAATTTATTTTAAGCATACGCATCACCACGCTAGGTAGAACTCATTACTGTTCAATATAAGCATTAACAATGTACATGTAATTGCTCAGTTTTTATATCACTTTTTTCAGTTTCTGTTTACACATCTGAACTAACGATGCACTTACATGTAAATTGAAGATAATTCACTCATTGAAATGTTTGGTAAATATGAGTAAATATTAATTTGGTTTTCTGTCTTAATTCACAGAATTAAGACTTATAAATGTTAATTGGAAAGTTTTAATCTTGATTTGAAATTTTGTTTACATTTTTTTTCAGACTGTCAAATATTTCCCTTTAGTTTGAATGATTAGGAATCAATTCGACTGAAGCTGAATTTCAGAAAGCTATACGGCCTCAGTTGCCTTGATTTGGGCCTGACTGCCACCTTGAAAAGGTCCCACACAAATAGCACATTTCTAATTCAATTATTTTCCGTACAAAACAAATAGATTTCTTTGTCTTTTCAAGAATTTAATTGCACATCTCTGTTTTCATTGTTTTGGATTTTTTGGTTGCCATTTCAGAAAACTGGAAGATGAAAAAAAACCAAATCATCACTTCAGTTTGGGTTTTAGCAAAAATCAAGAACTATGCATTTGTTTGCAAAGTATCAATCTTATTGTAAAAATTAAATGTTCAAGTAGACTTTTTAGTGTTAAACAATTTACCACTGTATGTAGATCTTAGTAGTCACAACAAGACTTTGTAAACTCCCTTTATTGTATATTCTTCAATTTGTTCCTAATAGAAAAAAAAATCTATTCTGTGCTATCTCTACATTACATTTTTTGATGATAGAAATTACAGCCTGTACAATTTTAATTATTGTTTTTCTGTTAACTTCACTTTTTAAAGCCATGTAAGATCATTTGCAATTACCCAGATAAGCACCTACCGATATAATGACAGAAACCTCAAAGTGAAGATAGGACTGGTAACAAATACCCTGTGAAATAATTCCACCTGAAATGGTATTGTCAGAAAACAAACATTGAAGGTGGTTTCAAAATGGCGTGCCTACAGAATCCAGTTACGAGATCCAAAGACTTGTGCATTATGTTTTCTTTGTTTTCTCCAAAATGTATAGTAGCCACTCAGCTAAGGCCTGAACAGAATACTTGCTATCACCGCACTTAAAATTTGAGCACTTCTGTTGCTTCGGAAAAAATCTGCTAAAAGCAAATGATCCTATGCACAATGCACCTTTACTGAAGCATACACATCACTATAAGAATTAATCCAGATTACTGTAGAAATTAGTCTTTTAATATTCACTCAGTGTCTTTTAAAAACCAAAAATAGCTTTTTTTGTAGTTTTTTTTCACTTTTGTAGTTATAGAAATCATCTTTATTGTTAATGTAGGGAGACCAAGTGCGCCCTCGGTTGTTGTTCGTCCAAAGTTTGGCAAGGTGAATTGCATAGTGTGACCTTTGTGCTTCCCGCGCGAAGGCAACTCCTGTGGGCTTCGAACAGAGAAGACCAACATATATTTTCTCTAGAAAATTCTCTCGTTTTGTAGGGAGCATGGATCCTGCCATGCTCCTGAGATATATCACTGTGGTAGGTTAATTTCATAGAAGATTCCCTGTGAGTATTGCTCTATTTTATCATCATTTTGTGAGAGAAATTGTGTATTTTCGGGCTGAGAGTTGAGACATGATTCATTGCATTTTAGTTTTGTACTTTGATGTGTAGCATATATACCTATACAGACATGTGTTGAACTCTGACACACACTTTGTATTGACATTTTATTGTGCACACGGGCTTGAATGCTTGAAGTGTTGTAATGTAAGAATAAATGTATTGTAGTTAGGAAATCATAGTCGTCACATCATCATAATGGTATATTTTGTTTGAACACTTGTCCACTTTAGTTAGAGGACCGTTCCTCCTTCCTTAATTGACATGGGAGCTGGTTCACTTCATTAATATTTACAAGCTTTGTACATGTGCATTTATATCAATGAAACTATAATGTTGACTGCAGTTTAATTATCAGAATGTCTACTAAAGATCAGCCCGGAATACTTTTCCTGTTAAGGCAAAAAAAAAAAAAACCACTCGGTCTCTGGTAAGCGTGCCCGTGGATTTTAATCATGCATGTCAACCATTCTTTTATGTTGAAATTAACACGGAAGCTACAACAGCGCCCTCTATTGCCACGCCTCCTCAAATTTTTGTACCAAGGAGCACCAAGGAATGGGGAAATTGCACTAAGGCAAATGATAAAGGGCACCAAGGCAAATTATGGAGGACACCAAATCATCACTTCAGTTTGGGTTTCAGCAAAAATCAAGAACTATGCATTTGTTTGCAAAGTATCAATCTTATTGTAAAAATTAAATGTTCAAGTAGACTCATTATAATGGTATATTTTGTTTGAACACTTGTCCGCTTTAGTTAGAGGACCGTTCCTCCTTCCTTAATTGACATGGGAGCTGGTTCACTTCATTAATATTTACAAGCTTTGTACATGTGCATTTATATCAATGAAACTATAATGTTGACTGCAGTTTAATCATCAGAATGTCTACTAAAGATCAGCCCGGAATACTTTTCCTGTTAAGCCAAAAAAAAAAAACCACTCGGTCTCTGGTAAGCGTGCCTGTGGATTTTAATCATGCATGTCAACCTTTCTTTTTTGTTGAAATTAACACGGAAGCTACAACAGCGCCCTCTATTGCCACGCCTCCTCAAATTTTTGTACCAAGGAGCACCAAGGAATGGGGAAATTGCACTAAGGCAAATGATAAAGGGCACCAAGGCAAATTATGGAGGACACCAATGTGTAATGAGGACACAAAAAAGCAAAAATAGTGCCCACCTTGTCTGTACAATACAAGCTTGGAAAAAAAAAAAAAAAAAAACCAAAAAACCCCAAAAAACCGCGTTGCTGCGTCAATTACGGAACTTCGGTCTGACCAGAGACCGACTAATTTTTTTTTTGGCCTTAAGATGGTTTCCTGTCTGAATTCACAGAATACAAACTCGTTTTTACTGTAATCATCAGCTTTTGTCTTGATTCTAATTTCAGAAGAACATTACTGTCAATTTTCGAAACCAAAATGCAAATGGTGAATCTTTAGATACCCTGGTTACTCAAAAATACCCCCCCAAAAACCAATCCATTTTGACATGATTTTTCACTTATATATGAAACTTCAGGCGCTGATTTCTGAAAACAAGGTTTTGGGAGACATCCCTCATTTAGCCTCAGCAGGTCACATTTTGTCTTTGAAGGTTAAAAACTTATTCAAGTGTAAAAGGATGCCAGTCATTTTAACAAATGTTCAAAATCAATTGTATTGAATTTCAAGAAGCTATGGCCTCTGTTGCCTTGATTTTGGCCTGACTGCCTCTTTAAAATTTCCTTACCTTTTAAAGAATTAAAATTCCATACCCCTGTTTTCATTGTTTTACATATTTGGTTGCCATTTTAGAAAACTTGATAATTATTTAAAAATTATCCCCCTCACTACAGTTTGAGTTTCAACAAAAATTTGTTAATTTGTTCATGAAACATTTCAAACTCTATTCCAGCAATAAAATATTCACACAGAATTGTAAAATTATAAGTTTTGAAATGAGGAGAAATAAATTTATTCATTCATTATTTGGAAAAAAATTAACTCTCTTTGTAGTTCTTTGTAGTCGCTCTTTACTTCAGCTAAAAACTATGCCTCAAAATAACTATTATTGTTTTTCCACAAGGACTAACAATATACACTGAAGTTATAACTGACCATAAGAGTTCAAATGTGTGACTACTTAAATTTTCTACAAGTTTTGGCAATTACGAAATTCATCACTTTATTTTTTTGATTACCTTTGCTCGATACATAAAGATGAAGACAATTTTATGAGTGGATTCCAGCCGGTTAAATAAATTCCAGATTTCTTGGAGCAGTCTGCAAGTCTTCATAGCCGCATGACAAGGTCAATGGTTTCACCTTTTATCAGACCCCCAACAATAAAAGTTGCACAGCGCCCTCTATTGACAATGACTCTCCCTCCCTTTATTATTGAGTGTCTGTGATTTTGCTCATGCTTTATTGTTGTATTAAATACTGACAAGGACGGATCCAGAACACAATTGTTTTGGGGGGGAGCCAAACAAAAATTAAGTCCCCAAAAAGTGGGTCCCAAAAATTCTGACGTGGGGTCCAGGCCCCGGTTAAGGGCCTGAACATTTTTTTGATTCTAGATGATCTGTGGTGCGATCTGAGGCAATTTCTGACCACTGTAATCAAATCCTTTTTAAGGAAAAGATGGTGTGTACGCAGTGCCTGCCTTTTTGTGATGTTACTTTTAAAAAAAAAATCTGGTTTTTTTTGGGGGGGGGGGGGTTGGGGGCATGGTCCCGGTTGGCCTTGCCTTGCATACTGAAATTAATAAAAAATAAGTGGTCCGCGGACCACACGTGTCGCCCGTTTCCACGGTCAACCCCTATAATATATTTTGTGCATTTTTAAACGATGTGAAATTACCCCTAGATGACCTTCGACCTCCAATTTTGAATGACATGTGATAAGGTACACTCTATCAAAGTTACATTAAAATCCATCAAATTATGTAGACATAGAAATATTTGAAGCAAGTTGAACAATACGGATGTCAGTCATATGAACATTATGCTCACACAGAAAAGTTAGGACTAGTGATATAAGTGTCTCCTGATTTCTTCGGTTAGAGAACACAACCATTGCCATTATTTTGTTTGTCTTGTATCATAGAAATCAGAACAAGTTTCTCGAAGGGCTGATATCTTATTTCCTTACAAACTATCAAATATGGCTTTTGAAGGTGGATGACTATTATTCTAAATTTGCCTACAACTTTGGCTGTAACTTGCAATTTGCCAGCTGGAACCCCGACCATGCAATACAGGCCTTGTTATCATCTACAATGGATTCGCAAGAGAAGATTCTCCATTTTTAAAACATCAAAAACTACTAGTTTGGAAAAACTTTATGCAATAAGGAATGTCACAATCGTTTTTAATTCGCTTCGTTTCTGTTACGTAATTGTATTTATTACGCGCGCTACGGCTATCGCGCCACCCCCGTATTGTAAAGTAGATCATGCCAAAAGTTTTTCACCAATCGTGTACGCACATTTTCCCGGTAGTTTCTTTTCCAGCCACTAAAAATTAAGGCATTGATTTGGTCAACCTGCTAAAACGCCGTGCGTCGGGTTACGTAATTATTATTGTCCGTGTGGCCATGGTTATTGATGTCCGTTTGTTTCTGTGAATGTGAGTATTGTGTGAAAGAATGTTGGTTGTTGTCAAGTAGAGTTGTGTGCGTTTTCTGAGGAGTGCATTCTCTGATCGAGAGAGAAGAGACACCAACAAATTTGAGAGATCTGAGCTGAGTGTGACAGAGACCGGTACCATCTTGCTAGGAGACGCCTGATACAGCAGGTTTTCGTCAGAAAATCGGTGAAATCTGCCACCGATCTTGTCTGATCCGCCAGTTTGGCAAAATCAGTGCCAAAATAGTCTCGGCAAGGCTAAAAGCCACCTTCCCGGTCCTGTAGACCACGCTCATAGCAACACTCAGCCTTCACAAGCATCATAATGAAGAAATAACCGTAAGTGTTGTATTTAATATTATTTCTCAACTTCCAACAATTAGAATCTGTAGTTTATACCAATTGATTGTGATTGTTAAGAATAATAATTTTCTTGGTAAAAAGTGCTTGAAATGATACCTTGAGATGAAGTGCAACCCTTGACACGAAGTCTAACTATATACTTGACATCTTGAGATTTATGGATATACTGTAATTTTAGAACAAAATACTGGATGGGTTTCGGTAACTGTTTTATATTGTAGATGGCCGGAAACCTCAAAGTACGAGTTGGGTTCATGCATGATGAATAGTAACGACTGCAGAACGACTACGATGTCAGTCTGTACATAGTGTGTCCCGTGCCGATTGACCCGTCAGCTGGAAAGGTGCACGGAGACGAGACCCTCTACTAAGGAAAGTGCCTCGGTTAAAATTGTAAAGTTTTAAATTTGCAGAAAGCTGTGATTTTGTTTTTGGAATAATCATAAGAAATATAACCGAAGTTGATATAGCTGTTTGAAGGAATTAAGTGTGAACAAAATTGTGATTGAATTGTCGAATTGAGCGTTCTAATCCGAAAGGTTGATTACTTTGATTTAACCAGTTTTATCAGAACCAAACAGAAGTATTGATATTTGATTGAAGTGAATTTTAAATTGTGGTATAGTCACGGTGGGATTCTAGATCCAAAGTAGTTATATTTGATTGGACTGAATTTTGAATTGAATTTTGGAGCTAAGGCTGAATTTAAACAAGAGTTACGGCTGAATTTTAGAGCCATATTCTACAGTTGGATTTGATTTTGAATTGTGTCGTTGTACACTCAGTAAGAGATTTGTGATTTTTAGAAATTTACGAGTTAAGCTTAAGAAAATTAAATTTGTAGACTAAGTTGTTGAAGTAGAAAGTAAAACTCCTAACTGAGATTGATTATGAGAAGTTTGATCCACGAGTCCGGATCTTTGTAAATATTGTAAATAGTTTGAGTTTATGAATATAATTAATTGGTGAATTATTTCCTTGTTTCTCGTCGTCAGTTCTTTCTGTCTTTGTACTTTAGTTTCTTTTTGACCGGGGTCATCACTTTAAAAGTCAAGTTTCATAGTTAGTGGTGACAAGGAAACCTTGATGTAATTCTTTGACAGGTTAGCTTTAATTTGAACCCAGTTATTATAATTAATACAGTGGTTAATTACCCACAATTAATTAGTGAAGATGCCCGTCCCTTCATTAAAACGAAAATTCAACTGTTCCACATTTACGCCCTTCTTGTTTAATGTGCTTTTCCATAGGCAAAGGTGTGCGTGTTCGATAACGCACGCACAGCTGAGAATGTAACAAAGATGCCCGGCCTTTCCTTCATGAAAATGAAAATTTCTATTTACCTACTTTTACCGACTTTCTGTGCGTTTGGTACGTGTTTAAGGTGCAGGCATGTTCGCGTCTCTTCGTGAAATTGCAAAATGCAATAATCGAGATGCCTGCCCCTGACGTCATTAATGTTATTCAGGAATTAATGATGTTTTGCTTACGGTAACATGTGAGAATGCTTAAGTACCATGTTTTAAAGCAAAATAGCGAAAAAAACTTGAAATCGAAAAATGTCAATTTTGACATGCCCGTCCCAACGGTGACGTTATACATATGCAACTTCAAAAGATTGGGCATGCTGTACGTAGGCCTATATAACATTTAAAGTGGACTCACAATGGCTACAGCCGGGGATGAACTTAAAGGGAAGATACAACATTTGCAAACATCAAAACACAAAATTATCACGAAATACCTTACTGAACTGTTAGGGACTGACAGTCCAAATCATCCTTAAAAATGGCTCCTGGTGTGCTGACATTTTCAAGAAAAACTGTATTTTTCCAACGCTGGTTGGCTGACCAGCGTTGGAAAAAACTGGGGTTTTTTTTCATAAACTGTCCCTAAGTTTTCATATTTAGTTATTCTGACTTTTCTTTGCAAATTGATTACACACCTGTGAAGGGGTACAAGCCTGCTAGACTGATTCTCTGAGCCTACAATTCTTTAAGTGTATTAATTGCTCTGTGTCATTTTAAGTGGGGTCAGGGAACCAGACTACAAGAACATGATAAGTTTTCTTGGTTTTTCCAGCGTCTACAAGCCCAAAACGTGAAACAAGTCAGTTTAACAATATTTTCTATAGCATACTAATCCTCCAAATCCATTTATTTCTGAAAATTACAGCAAAAGCAAATGTTGTACATTCCGTTTAAGTCCCTCCTTAGTCTTTCACAAGTCCAGTCACAAGTTACGAGATTCGAACAATGACAAATAAATTGCTTTGCAACGGTACATTTGAAAAGCTTGTGATTTGACTTGAGACCGAGGGACTTGTGAAGGACTTGACAATGAAAGCAGCTGAATCCGCATCCCAAAGACAACTGTTACTTGCTATGACTAGCAATAACACATGTGTCTATGAAATTAGCTGAATCTGCATCACATAGACACGTGTTACGCTGCCAGCAATAACACGTGCACCTATGAAAGCAGTTCAATCTGCATCCCATACACACGTTTCAGCTGGGCTCGGCACATCATTCCTGCAACAGCACGGCGAATCACCTCCCTGTCTTGTCTGAGAATGTCAATTTCACGAGTTATTCTTTCCTAGAGGTCATCCAGATTTGCCTAATGAAACTCTTGCAAGCAAGATCCACAAATTTGAACTGATTATGCATTCCGTGACCAGAACTAAGACAATGGTTGTGTTTTCTTTTAAATTGTCTCATTCTTATCCAGCCCTGAACAGTTGGCGCAAGTCAGATTTCACCTGACCCGTTTAATTTTCTCCTGTGCAGTCATGCATGAAAACTAATCCTGTGAAAATGTCACCAAAAGAAGCAGAAAGAGAAAAATGGCCATCTCTAGCCCTCACAGGTACCAATTTACTCCAGGGTGGGGTGAAGCAATTAGTGACAAAGTGCCTTGCCCAAGGGCACACGCACCATAATCCCAGGCTGGACTCGAACCCATAACCCGCAGAATTACATGCACACCATGAATTCAATGACCCCAGACCACGAGGCCATGGCACTCCACAATAACACATGCGTCTATATGAAAGCAGCTGAGCCGCATCCCATAGACATGTGTTACTGCAGGTCGTAACCCAATAATATTGACAAGTATACTTAAGCTTTGAGACAGGACTCACCTTTGGATTGGTGCCAGGAAGTTGCATGGTGGCTACAAGGTTCCAGACCATTCCTGCCATTCCATGAGCTGTCACCCCTCCCCATCTCCAAAGGCCATGTTATGATGCATACCAGACATTGGCTCATGTTGCTCACCAAACCGGCTGACAGGTGTCTGTAGGAAATAAGCAGCGGAATAAAGTTAGAGCTGAAGCATGATGGCATTTCAGCAGGTACATCTTGATGAGGTTTTGATTTCTCTAATTGATTTTCTAAATGATCGCTGTTCAGTCTTTCCTGGTCCCAGAGGGCCAGCCTACAGTCCTCTTTGTACCTCATGGATCGACTGTCACTTGTTAGCTGGGCAATGCTGTTGTAAAGGATTACATTGTAACACCAATGAATGGGCTAAATCAATTGAATAGGACTGTATGTACCCTGGAACCAACTCTAATTGTCTTGTGTTGTTGTAAACTGTTTTCAAGTCCTGAACTCATGCTGATTGAGTGAGATGCTTACTTGTTTAGTTGGAAGCTATCCTCTCTTGACAGTGTCTTGATGGGGGAATTAGTTAGGCATCCTGTTAGCTGCTGTGCCTGGTACGTCCTCTAAGTTGCTACTTCAGATCCAGTCAATACTGATCCGGGGAAAAATTCAGAAGTAACAAGAACTTTATTAAAAATCTGCCATATATAAGGAAACAAATATTCTTTTAAGTGGATGACAACTAATATTTTGCTAATTCGCATGTCCTGTAAGCCCTTGTGATAGACTTGCAATGACTTGCAATGGACTTGCGATGGACTTGCAATGGACTTGCGATGGACTTGCGATGGATTGCAGTGACTTGTGATGGACTGCTGCTAGGCAGAGGTCGTAATGAGGGTTTGCTGGTATTAGGAAAGAGAGTAAAACTCTTCCTACAATACTGTTTGTTGCATCTCCATCAGACATTCCATTGACAATTTATGGCTGCTTAAAGTTTGCATTTATCGACATGTCAAAACAGTATACATTGTACTGACAAAACAGCCTTTAAAGTTTCGGGGTTTGTACAAGTCATCAAAATGAACATGCAAATATAGTTTTTTCATTAAAAAACAACACTTTTAGTCAACGATTTTTACATTTCTTTCAAACATCCTAACCGTACTAGACACGTCAAAGATTACACATTTCAATAAATCTGGAAATCGAGACAAATAACGTCCTTTCCTTTTTATATTATTTTGGAATTGTTTTCCACTGCGGCCTGCATGTGCCAACTTCTATCATTTTGCCAGAACTCCTCACATATATGTGAAGAAACTTCACTTCTCTTCCCATAAAAAATATGCCTACATGAACAATTTGTAAAACTCTTGGGGGAAGAAGCAACAGTTTGTACTTACAGTCTGGATGCGGCATCTGTCGTGCTCTTGATCCCCTTCAATTCTGTACACGATGCCATACATGACATACTCAGGTCCGCCTTGGTGGGTGTGCCGTCATCAAGGGGCATGTACTACCCATCGTCAGGGTAACCATTAACATTGTTGCAAGAACAAGGTGGAATTCATCACCTGTTTTTACAGAAAAAAAATTAATAAAAGAAATTAATAAACCCTAGATTTATAAGTGCTGGTGTGATGTAAATTCCACGCACAAATTTTATACATCAGTTTATTTTAATCCTGTCTGAAAAAGAGCCAAGAATTTGGGTCCTTTCAAAACGACTGTGTGAAGGGAACATTTGAAAGTAATTCCAGCTGATTACCAGAATAAATATCTTGTGAACACAATGCAACATTACTGCCATTCAAAGCAAGAAAGGCGCATATACATGTACAGGTATATAAGATTTCTCAAATATCTTTTAGTTAAATATTAGTCAAGATACTGACGATTAATTAACCCTAACCCTCCTGAATCGTCCAAAATACTCCAGGTAGTTTTGGAGGATTTGGGAGGACTGAGGCTGAATGGCAAAAAAGAATCCAGAATTCAGTTAAATTCGAGATCCAAAGAAATGCATAAGATGATAACCACTCAGCTAAGACTTGAACAGAATGCTTGTTATGCACCATACTAAATATTGAGCACTTTTGTTGCTTTCAAGAAAAAGAATAGTTATGTACAATGTACCTTTAAGCTGACATTGGAAAATATTACTTTTCAAAATAGGCCTATGCCTTTTAGTTTCTTTTAAAACATTTCTTTGGGTACTCTGCATAATATTACAAACTTTGTACAAAGTATTTGCATTTTTATCAGCGTAGCACTAATGTTGATGCTAATCATCAAAGTTTCTGCTAAAGATGAGCTACAATTAATACTTCAGCTTATTTGGTTTCCTGTCTGAATTCACAGAATAAAGACTTGCATTGATTGTACTCATCTGATATTGATATTATGTTTTATACATTTCCCATAAAAAAAGTTTTTAAACTTCTTCAAATGTGAAAGCTAGGTTGCAAATCATTTTAACAAACGTTAAAATGTACTGTATTGACTTTCAGGAAGCTATATGGCTTCCGTTTCCTTGATGTCAGCCTTGAGTCTTGATCCTTGACATTTCCCGCTTTTCAAGAGTTAAATTCCATACCATCTGTATATGTATTGCTTTACCTATTTGGTTGCCAGTTCAACAAACTTGAAAATTAAAGAAAAAGGAGCTTCACTGCAGTTTGTTTTTCAACAAAGAATTATACAATTTTCATGAGACTTTTCTAATTCTATTGTTGCAATTAAATACAGTGTATTCAAATGGACTTGTAAAACCTGGTTTGGAAAGGAGTAGAAATAAATTCATTCATTTATTCAGAATAAGAATTAACTCACCACTCTTTGTAGTTCTTTGTAGTTGCTCTTTTCTTGAGCTAAAATTAAACACAAAAAAGATATGCCCGGAAATAACTGTATTGTAAGACCACTTGGAATGCAAGTACTTGTCCTGCTGGCCTATCCACTCCGTTCACAAGTTCCCCCTCACCGGCAAAGGAAGTGTGACCGACCGACGCCATCTTGGGCCAAGTTCGGGCAAGGACCATTAGTCGACTAGTGGTTGATTTGTGACGTACCTTATGCCTGCGCATAATAGCAAATAGTGCAAACGTCTCTAGTCGAACGCTGGTCAAAATGTCATTGCAAAATGTCTGGATCCTGGCTCCCTGCTGTACGTTATGAACGCGCGCGGCTATGGTTACCAGCGAAGCAACCAACCCCAGTAGGTTGGTTCCAAATAGTCGACTAGCGTAGTTAACCATCGTCGACTAGACAGAGTTCGGGCAAGCGTTAGTCGACCAATGGTTAACTATAGTCCTTGCGCGAACTTGCCCTTGCCTGACTGCAATTCATTTGCTGCATAAGCGCGGCCACTGCGTGTACATAGAACAATTAAATCCCCTGGTGTACGCGCGTCACATACAAGGAACGGTGCGCATCAACCAGCGAAATGTCCCGCCCATGGGACGTCGTTGCTAGGTAAAAGGGCGCCCTCTTTTGGTAGCGCACGGAGCTCATAACCATGTGAGTTGAAATGTGTCAATAACTGTGTCAATCATACCATAGTTGTGCAATGTGCCCAAGATCATCCTTTATTATTGATCATGAGTGATCAGTGCCCCCAATAGTCAAATGGTAGATACCCCATTTCCCCAATACATTGTAGCCAGATTGTGTTCAGCTCTCCTCCCCCAAACATTATCACAAAAGTGAGATTTCACAACTTCAAACTTGAAGCAAATCATTCTTTTTTTTCATTGTTTGGTCCAAGTTTTGGTATTTGTACAATGTCTTGGTCGCAGAGTTGGACTACGTCACTGCATACACTGTGTAAAAATCTTGGAAAACGGTCACCCTAGCTCTTTTTCATTTCCCCCCTGCCCTTTTGAAATGTGTTAGTCCAGACGTTGTTTACCTTTAAAAAATAATGGACTGGCCCAGAGCCACATCAACAAGGAAGCAGGAAGTTGCATGGTCTCACTGTTCTCCAAGCAATGACCCTGCCAACACATCTTGTAAAGTTGTGCTTTATTCTTGCCTGGCAACTCTCGATTATTTCTTACAGGTATGTAGATTTTATATTTCATTTCTTATATTATAATTCACATTCATTGATTCCCTTCAGTTTACGCAATTGTATTGTTTGGAGTATAAGCCTACTGTTAATACTTGAGAATAAGTTGTTTAGTCTTGACACTTTCGTTTCTCTGAGTTTGTGAAGATGTTCCGCATTAATAGTACCCTCCTATGCAAACATGCATTCGGTGCCAAGTAATTTTTTCAGTCAAATAAAACAAGTGACTGTTTCAACAATTCCCAGGTCACATAAAGCAGGTTTGACTGGCTGGGACTGTTTAAGTGACTTGATATGCTTTGACTCCGGGTGAGTGATAAAACAGCTGTGACCACAACTTGCCTGTTTTGTCTGTTTAGTCACAGTGCTTGCTTGACATGATCTGACTGCTGGTCACGTACGGCTAGCCTTTTATGATATCTGACGAAGACTAAATGAATTATAAATATCGGAGCCGAAATGAATGGACAAGGGAGACACGATGTGCAGTATTGATACCTCGTGTGAGAGTGTGTAATTTAGTACATACCATTCAGGTCAAGGGTCATAAGCATATACTGCTCTAGAACACATGCAGTAGAAGATGACTATACTAATGCACTGCAATAATGTAAACATTACACCTTTGTTAAAGGTAAAGCAGGGGAAAAGGGAAGTGAAGATTGACTGTATGTGACTGTTTAAATAGCAAAAGGGTTAAGATGCCATTCAGAATAACAGTCAGAATTTCAATTTCTAAATGTTGAATGATGTCCTATACACTTAAGAAAGTAATGTCTCAAATGAAGTGCATAGTTAAGCTCATTGCTGTGCCAGCTCTGGAGTTATGGCATTTCCAGAGCTATACAGGCATGCAACTTTGCAGTTTGCAGTTGAAACAGTAAAGAAAGTTTCCAAGCACACAAAACTTTGTACAATGTTTTCCAGTTTTGTATGACACTATAGAATATGTTTTTAACTAGAAAACCAAATCACCTTATAGCTGGAAAGTTGCATGCCTGTATAGCTCTGTTTTTTTTCTGCTGGCATTTTGCTTTTTTTATTTGCCATTCATAAATACCTGAGACAGTTTACCCATTCCCATTTGTCGAGAGCTTGTCACATGGCCGGTCTTAAAG